CCCACTACAATCATGTTGGCACGTGTTCAAAGACAAGAACCCCTACTACGAAGAAGGCAAAGAAAACAAGACTGTTACAAGACTTGTTGCCCACAGGATCAGGACAGAAAAAGGTCTGAAGGAGGAAATAGAGAAGATCAAGTAGGCAGCAGTCAACAGTTGACTAGCTCAGTTCGAACTCAAGATGGGCAAGGTGCCAGCGAGCTTCCTGATAAGGAAAGGGAGCACCTATCCCCTGAAGAACTCGACAATTCTTGATTCCGGAACAACTCTCCATGTCTTCAAGGAGATCAGCAGGTTCCAAAATTTCCGAACGCCAGCCACAAGAGACGTGATCTACGCAGGCAAGGACATAATGAAAATTGAAGGATACGGAGACGTTGATATTGAGGTACAGGGCGACCAAGGACCAAATATACTGAGGCTTCATGATGTGGCCTGGTGTAGAGGGTTCGCCTATAACCTCGTATCTCTTCGACTGCTTCGACGCAAGGGGTACTGGTGGGATAACAAGTATCCGAACAACTCATTACGACGGAAGGACAATTCTCTGGTGTGTCAGATCACGGAGATGTTCGACCAAGTCGTAATATAATACTTGCCACTGGAAATAACCCCACAAACCTTCTTTACACGTCGCAATCAACACATTTCTGCTACAAAAGGTAAGCCAAAACTGGTCACAGCAGAACGCTGGCATCTTCGTATGGGCCACCCAGGCCCAGAGGCACTGAAGCACTTGGTTAGCCATTCAGAAGGAGTCAAGGTCAAGGGTCCCTTTGGCCCAAAGACTACTGAGTGTGATGGCTGTGGCACCGCCAAGACTAAGCGACAAGTATCCCGGATTCCAAAGGAACCGGAAACAGAACCAGGAAGCTGCATTGCGGTGGATTTCCACGATCTCGAAGAAGACGACGAGGGCTTCTCAAGACTGTGTCTGTTCACCGACAGATACTCCGGATACTCATGGGACTACTACATGAGAGACAAGACAGCAGAGTCAATTATTGAAGCACTGGATGATGTTTTCGGTATCCTCGAGCGACAATTCGACATCAAACCAAAGTCAATCGAGTGCGACAACGAGATCACACAATCCTTCAAACTGAAGGGGTGGCTCCAGGCACGATATCTCAAAGTCAAGCCCTCTGCTCCACATACACAAGCCCAGAACGGTGGTGCCGAGCGCTTAGGGGGTGTGGTCAAGGAGAAATCGCGAGCTATGAGAGCAAGCTCAAAACTTCCAAGCTTCCTCTGGAAAGAAATTTACCAGGCAAGTGTATACCTGTACAGCAGGACTCCTAAGTACTTGTACAATTGGAAGTCACCATATGAGCGTTTCTACACCTACGTGGCCAACAGGGACAGAACCACAGTCACAGCAAAGAAGCCTGACCAACGACATCTGAAAGTATATGGTTGTAAGTGTTACGCACTTACGACAGATACACTTCGGAAGTCAAATCGCATGAAAAAGCTGAGCCCGAGGGCATGGATTGGATACCTTGTCGGCTACAGCTCTACAAACATCTACCGAATTTGGAATCCTCACACGAATAAGATGATCAGCACACGAGATGTTATCTTCAATGAGGAAGAGACATTTAGTGGTTCGCTAGAGACACTCAAGGATGAGCTCCTCGGTATATCAACAGAGGAAATGGAGGCACTGCTTAACCAAGTTAAGCTCAGGGATGCCAAACAACATGAATCAACAGCTGCCAGACATGCTGAAGACGAATGTGTTTACGAAGTACAAAACATTTACGAAGTTCAAGACCAAGATTCAATGCTTGCGTTCGAGCAGGGTGATGAGGACGAGGATACAAGGATAGCAACCGATGAAGCCGCTGAGCAGACTCACGAGCCAGCTCAGGGGGGGTCCGAAATAACTGAGCACGCTGGAGGGACTGATCACCCCTATACCACCGCAGTTTTCGCCTCCTATCTGTCCCCGTCTCTCTCACCGCCTCCGCCTGCATGTTTATTGGCCGCTGCAATTCGAAGCTCAGGAACCAACGAGATAAGGGATGTTACAGCATCCCCTATACCGGTACCTCGACTGATGTCAGATGTTACGGAAGTCCGGTCAGCAACATGGGCTGCCGCGTTCAACGCAGGCATACTCTCAAGCCCAGCTGGCCAGATGAATGGACAACTAGTCAGTAAGGCAAGGGTCACCAGAATGCTGGACCGAGCCTTTGCTTCGAAAAACAGTGATCCCTCAGGTCCTCCAGTTATTACTCTGAAGAGGCCTGCAATCAGAGCGAAGCTGGAGGCTGGAGTTAAGGTACACAGGCGTGAGATGCCTCCTTTGCCTAAAACGCACAAGGACCTAACTGGCCAGCCTGGGAAGCGCGAGGAACATCCAATGAAGAGGGAGTTCCAAGAAGCTGAAAGACAGCACCTCGCGAGCCATCGAGAGATGAGCACATGGCGCGAAGTCGCTAGTGATACCCCTAGGGGACAGCCAGTACTTGACTGTATGTGGGTGTACGTATACAAGTTTGACAAGCATGGCTGGTTTATCAAGTGTAAAGCGCGCCTCGTGGTGCGTGGTGACCAGCAGGCTAAGTCTGTATACGAACATACATATGCGTCAACTCTAGCTGGAAGGTCATTTCGATCTCTTATCGCAATTGCAGCCAGGTTTGATTTGGAATTACTTCAGTACGACGCAGTCAATGCATTCGTTAATGCTAAACTGCCTCATCCAGTATATATGAGAATGCCACCTGGCTATAGAAAAAGAAGCACGATACTCTTGCTACTCAAAGCACTCTACGGACTGCGAGAGTCACCTCTACTTTGGCAGGAAGAGTTCACATCTACTCTAGCTAAGTATGGTTTCAAGCCAGTCCCTCATGAGCCCTGCTGCTATACTGGCAAGAATATACTAATCTTCTTCTACGTGGACGATATCGTCGTCGCATTCCATGAGAAGGATCGATCTGTAGCACTCTCTACAGTGGAACGGTTACGACAGTCTTACGAGCTGACTGGCGGAGATGACCTGCAGTGGTTCTTGGGCATCGAAGTTCTACGGGACCGAGAACAAAAGCTGATCTGGCTATGTCAATCTAACTATGCGGACAAAATCTCGAATCTTGCTACCGAACCTGAGAAACGATCCGTCGAAACGCCAATGTCAACCGAAGAGCTCTTACCCTACGAAGAGCGGTCTGACTACGCCACAATAAACATCTATCAGCGTAAAGTCGGATCAATTATGTATATCGCAGTTGCCACACGACCAGATATCGCATTTGCGGCGTCTCGGCTAGCGCGGTTCAATCTTAATCCAGGACCAAAACACCACGCCGCAGCTGACCGAGTTCTTCAGTACCTGAAAAATACCAGGACTTTGGCCCTTCAATTTGGAGGATCTGACGAATTTTACACCGCGAGCGATGCTTCATTCGCAGACAATACACTGGACAGGAAGAGTTCTCAAGCATACATTATGAAGCTCTTTGGTGGCACTATTGGCTGGCGAGCTAATAAGCAAGACACAGTGACTACTTCAACAACTGAAGCGGAGTTGCTGTCGCTTGTGCAGGCCACTAAAGAGACGATATTCATGTCCCGACTTCTGAAGGAATTAGGGGTGTCCTTGGACACTACTGCAGTCAGGATGGAGTGTGATAACAAGCAGACTATACGCCTGATCAATAGTGATCTCATGGCACTAAAGACCAAGCTCCGTCATGTTGATATCCACAACCACTGGCTGCGGCAGGCAGCAGTTACAGGAGATATTGAGGTTGTCTACGTCCCAACCGACCTTATGATCGCTGACGGCCCGACGAAAGCATTGGCTTCTGATCAACACGAGACCTTCGTCCGACAGATAGGCCTCACCGATGTGGCTATGAAAATTCAGCAGCGGCGGATGCGGGAACTAACAGTTGAGGACTTCAGCAGAATGGAAGATAACCTTGTGGGAGGAGAGGTTGACTTCCATCTTGACTGATAATAGGATTGTTTGGAACAGGAAGAATGACCTAGAGATCTGGAAAGCAGTATGTCAGCATGGTCCTGCGGACAATGCTGAAGGGGTGTGTCAGATAGGGCACCTGGTTCCTAGGTTCAGAAATAATATGGCACTAGAGAAGACTAGTGTCACTTGAAGTTCAGACGGCGAAATGAACCCCTCTTCCCGAAAGTAACTCCGAAGTTCGGGGTCAGACACCTGAACAATGCACCTCCGACATTTCCGGAAGAATCTATAAAGGGCAGAGCAACGGGAGTTCGCGAGAATAGAACACAGAGAAGAATACACCTCATTCATATACAATCTTACGCACTGCTGACTACTCGATTGGACACACGTGATATTCGACACCTAGCACAGTTACCTATTTGGCCGTTTTAGCAGTAGGCCGGCCTTCTCCGCTACTTTAGTGATACGCTAGCTTATAGCTATGTCCATAACCTTCCCTACTATACTGAGCAACGCTATTGGCCGCTAGCCGCCAGGGTTCACTTCTAGGCCGCCATTTTATTAGGCCTGGGGATAATAACCACCCTCGCCGAGGGGAAGCGCTCCACTTAATATGCTAGCCTAACGCTAGCTATTAATAGATTCACTAGCTATTCCCATTGCGACATATCTGTAAAAACTTAGCTTCACGCTCGAAGCATAAATTCACTGGACAAATTTGTTATGTTATGATCGCATTGACTATTCTTGAGATTATTCTACCATGAGCCTAGCTTACGGTATTCTGAACTGCAGAATACCGTGACGATAACTGGTAGTGTACAAACTCTTTGACATGACATTGTGCCTGACAATAAATAACTTAAGGAGGTAAGAGCCCTTGCGAACGGCGTTACAATTCATGAAACACTCCACAGACAAAGGGTCCAAAATTGGCACATGATTAGCATTGTAGCATTGTTATTTGACAAATCCAATTCGTTTCCTTCTCTCCCAAACACCATTCAGACTAACATGACTCGCATATGGCTTAAGGCGACGCGGCTAGACCTGATACTCATTCCCAATTTCCCGACCCAAGCTGAACAGGAATTCCCTTTTCCAGGTTGGCCATAATCTCATCAATATTCCAAGGCACGTATTTATAGCCTGGCGGGTAGTTAGGAGGGATGACATCATCTTGATCCATTGGGACATGATTTCGCATGCTTTCAATGCACCTGTCATAATTGTCGTGCGCGTAAGTTTCAGGGTCATGAGACCAAACCCAACGCGGATGTTTAGGCTGAGCCTTGCGAGGGTCGAGCTTGGCCTTGTCCCAGTTGGTGGCCTGTAAGCGTTCCGCATTGAGAAATCCAAGTTTCTGAGCACAGGCACAGCGTAGAAAGCGGAAGCGGATGTGGGCACGAACCGACTCAGGCACGGTTTTGGCACTACCGCCCAGGTGTAAACAAGAAGCTAGTGATACAGCGTCCTCAATAGCCTGAGTGGCACCGTTGCCAGACGAGGGGAGGAAGGAGTGGGCAGCGTCGCCAATTTGGACAATGCGAGCGGTGGGAGAGCACCATGACGGCTGAGGGTTGCGCCAGAAGAGTTCGAAGTTAACAATCGTCTTTGGTGGCGTGATACGGACTAACTGCTTGAAAATAGGAGCCCAGCCCTCGGAAGTACCAACAACACTCTTGTCCATGTTAGCCAACACGTCGTCAGCTTCAACAGTATGGTGCCAAGACTCGCGCTCATCACCAGTTGCCTATATACGCATGTTAGATCAGAAAATATGCTCATGCCGCAATACTTACATCGTGGTTGATAATCCAAACCATGACGTCGTCGCGCGTCAAGGTAAGCCCATAGGTACCAGGACCGAGAAAAGTCCTTACAACGGGGTCGTGGCCATCTTTGAGTTGGAAGAATTCCTTGACTTGAGGGTCCTGGTCGAGATGGCTGACAGGAAAGGCGGCGCGCCACATCGCCCTTCCTGAACTAGCAGCTCTGACTTGACCACCAACAATCTCCTGGCTCTTAGATCCGACTCCGTCGGCGGCTATGACCATGTCGGCCTCAAATGTCTCGCCGTGTTCCGTCTCGACTCCAGCCTTATCACCATTTTCGAAGTACTTGACAACTCGTTTGCCGAAGAGCACCTCGATGCCGAGCCGCTCGACCTGATTAACAAACATCCTGTATACCAAAGGCCGCATTTGAAATGCGCCAGGTGGCGTGTCAGGGTCCAGCCCCGCTTCCTTAAGCCTCTCGGCCACCTTGAGCAATGGAATCATACACTCCCCACTATGCTTGAATGTCTCCATCCAGCAGTCATGTAATGAAATTTCATCGTACTCCCTAGCCATGTCGGGCCAATGCTTGAAGAAGCGCGTGCCGCTGAGGCCCATGAAATACATATCGCCTGATTGTTGTGTCAGTCACTCAACCAACATGCCGGGTGAGACAGAAATAATATACCCATAGTACTAATTTCTTCGTGCCTCTCCAACACCTGCACCCGATGGCCCTTGCGGACGCACTCTATAGCAGCCGTAAGGCCCGCCAGCCCAGTGCCCACAATGAGCACATCAATGCCGGTATCACGGTACGAACCGACCGGTTGAGACGAGTTATTCAATGTGGAGCCCATTTTTCTGTCGCAATGAATGAGAATGGATGGTGGTCTAGAAGCAACGACGTAGATGGTAGATGGCGAACGATTGAACAGACCATTCCGTGCTTCGCTAATTTATAGAGGAACCAGTTGCCATATTCCCCGACAGCTCATCCATCACACATGCAAACCGCTTACGACTGTTCCGTAAGCTTCTCTCTGGAGTATGGCCTTCAGGATGCTCTCCACCAGAAACAAAAACTCAGCACCAACAGCATCCATAGCGGAGCACCAGAGAGTCAAAGTCATTTGGTTGGCATGACATGTCGGCAGCAAGATCCATGCCGGCCACCGTTGCTGACACTTTACCCTGGCCGTCTGATCACTTCACTGGCGCACTTTGCCTCGAGTTCATTCCGAAAGAGTTAAAATACCCGCCAAGTACGAGAAAAGGCATCGTATCATGTCCGTTACGTGGGCCGACACCAGAACGTCCATGCGTAAAGCTCGGTGAACTTGAAAGTCAGAGGAAGAATCAGACGAGCTGGCACCATGTCGCCGATATTGGACAATATGAGCCAGTCAAAAGGGACACGTACCCAATTCATTGACCTGAATCCCAAATCTTCTTGAGTGATCCTACCTACCCATTCGGCAACCATACTTCGTGCTCCGAATCCGACTTGACGTTGGCTTGAATAAAGTTGGCGGTGTCCGAACCAAGTAAGTTCGCTTGGCAGACTAAGAAAAGAAAGAGGCCCCAGCTAACGTCCACATTTACCGATAGCACAAGCCGAAATAGAGACAGCGCGAAATCAAGGGAGGTATGCAGCAATGGAAGGTGTTGCGCTGAGAATATGCCTCGGGGCTTGAACATATTGCGTCTATGTGTAGTATTCATGGTACAACATGACAAATCCATACGAATTGTGGTGACTCGGTGTATAAGAAACCGTCCAGCATGCCGGAAATACCTTATCGACCGCCGGGGCCGCCACTCTGAGATGCGATGCTTACTGTTTCTGCGAGATCATCATCTCCTCGTTGTCGGCAGTAGGGGCTGCTCGGCTGGTACTCTCATTGAGTGGGCTCTTGCCCACCACAGGAGCACTAGTGCCCTTCAGCTGTAGTTCATAGTCGGGGTTCTGAGTCAGGGCAAATTCCTCCTGATCAATGTGACGGAAGGTGAACCAAAATATAATGGTGAGAATACCGCCGGCAATGGCTGGACCGCCAAAGTCCCACGTCAAGTACGGATCCGTGATGACGGATGAGCATGCTAATCCAATAGCGTAAGCTACGGCTGTGGTGAAGAGGTTGATGGCCGACACGAGACCCCTCATGTTGACAGGGGCGCGCGAGTAAGCAATGCCGTAGGCGGGCACGTTGATGAATAACTCCGAGATACCACCAATTGCGTAGGGGATCGCCATCCACCAGATGCTGATGGGCGCCACGCCCTCGCCGATGGTACAGTCACTCGAGCCGTAGTCGCCACAAGGGGACTGCTTGTAAGCATAGTAGTTGAGCACTGTGTATCCGACACCGCCCAGTGTCGACATGGCCAAACCCGTTGTCATGCGAGCCACCGGGCCGTAGTGGATCTTAGCGTCACGCAAGAAGGGGTATAGGCCGTAATTCAGGACGGGGGCCATGACGATGATGCTCAACGTGTTGAAGTTCCCGATGACGTCATTAGGTACACCGTTGGTGGTCAGCATGGTGGACAGGAAGCTGGCTGCCGAGCCGATGCCGTTATCGTTGAGGTACTGGATGGGGAAGAAACAGAAGATGCCCGTGGCCTGGAAAGTGCGGCGAACGTCATCGACGAATTGGTCGTTCCATCGTATATCGGGCGTCAATCCAGCCGCCAACATGTTAGAGGGCTTCGCCAACTCCCAGAAGCCGTGACGGCCAAGCTTGGAAATGCCACCGCGCCGTAAGCAGATGCCCAGCACTCGGACGACGTTGGGGAGGTCACTACCGCCAGGTTGGTGCAGGATCAGGCGCTTGCGTAGCCACCAAAGTAGTACAGGCAAGGGCAGGTACAGAATAAGGGGGATGAGGAAAGCTAACCACCAGCCGATATATTTTTCAATATAGGCAGTGGCCACATTCATAAAGCCGCCTATATTAATAAGAAGATAGAACCAGAGCATAACCCTTTCGGTACTTGACTCGGGATCCTGGATCACCCTTTCGCCCTTGCTCGTGGTGACCACAGTAGGCACCGTGGTAGTCATCTGATCGAGTAGCAGCGGCGAAACATTCGGCTTAAACATGCCCGCACCAACGGCCAGGATATAGACGGAGATGAAGTAGGGCGCCTTGGCGGTACCATTAGCTAGGAGGTTTTTGGCGCCGGCGACTACCATGAGGACGTGTGCGACACCGAAAATACCGACGCCCCAGCAGATCATCTTGAAGCGGCCTGTCTTTGCGTCTGCTAGGTAGCCGAAAACGAGAGGGAGGGCATACACCAACAGACTGAAAGACTGGCCGATTGCATTCGCTATGGTTGTGCCCAAGCCCAAGGCACCCGCCGTCTGCTGTGTGCCAGAAGGCGGTGCCCCCCAGCCGTCCCCTCCTTCTGGAAGCGGCCTGTTCACGAAGTTGCTCATGAGAGGTTGGACACCGTAGTAGGACGCACGCTCGCAGAACTCAACGGCGCAGATAAGATAGGCAATAACGGGAACGCTTGCGGGGACTCTTCGTAGCGTTTTTGACTCTTCCTCGGTGGGCTTGCCCTCGTAGTCCTCGTTGAGGGTAGCATGGTCGAGGTACGGGGCGTGCGAGTCACCGGGGGAGTCACCAGGGGCCCTGTGCGCCATCTTTCCCGGGTCGCTGTCATATTGCAAGTCGGTGCTCGCCGCGTGGTTGTGGGCTGCATGAGCTGTATGTGATGAAAGTGATTAGTAAAGTTATACATACGATATGGCATGTGGGAACGTACCCATCATTGCTTACTTCGCTGGCAGAGCTTTGTTGCAGACGGGGAGAAAATCGCGACAACCTAACGCCGGAAGGAGAGAAAAACACTCGTGGAAGCTAGGACAGGGAGCGTTTTATGAAGCTGTGCGTGTCATGTCTGGCGTGGGAACGGTTGACCCGCCAGTTGATTTGGGGAATGTGCCATCTAGAATCGGCCATCATTCATCCTGGTACAGTCGGCCATGGCCATTAATTCCAGAGATTGGCAATGATGCCTAACGATTGGTTATTGGCTGGTGTCATCAGTTTTTGTCATGTTGCCTTCGGGTGGTACGGGTGGTACGGCAACACGAGGAAACGTGGTAGCAGCGGATGATCCAGGGAGGTCTAGGTGCCCAGACGGGCAATCCCATATTATCTCCAAGATGGCCGCTCACGCTGCCTTCATTGTTTATCAGACGAGGTGCGTGCTGGTGTGGGAGCCGGCTCAAAAGCCATATCCATGTCGTGTATCCATGGAGTGGAGGTTCGTTGTGGATTATTATATGGAGCTATATGCCGTGTCTATAATATGGCCGACCCAATAGCTGTCGTGTGACCCAACTCCCCAGCCTCGGCTCTGGGCGAGGTCCGGACGGGGCGTGTACCGTGTCATGCATTCGGCGAGGGAGGTTGGGGAAGGCTCTCTCGCATTCCCATCGCTTTGTATCGCAAGGTGACGACAGGAGGGCTGTGGCCTGAGACCCGAAGCATGTCCACGCCGTTATCGGCCAAGCAATGGCGTTTTTTCTTCTTTTCCTTTTCCTCTTCCCTCCGTCATTGCGTGATCTGACAATGACTCTCCGTGAAGAAGACTTGCCCAAAAGTGGCCAAACGCGGAATGACATAAACGATTGGAATGAGCCGCACGCAATTAGGCACCCTGTGTCGCTCGGTTGTCGTGCTTGATGCCGATAAGAACCAATATTTAATAGATCAGATGTAATGGGAAACGAGAAAAAGGGAACTTGACGCACCGAACGAAGTTGGTTTAAACTTTGCCCAGCCCAGATCCCCCGGTGCCGAGTCTAATAAGCTTTCGGCTCGCATGCAGCCGAGTTTTAGTTGTTACGAACACTCAAATACCTCAATGAAGTATTCTCATGTCGTGGACGGGCTGACATAACTTGATTATTCCAGCCCCAGCCCAGTGAGAGCATAAACTAACTAGGTACAAGAACGCTCTAACCAGATACAAAACCTAAGTTCTTACTAAAAGTTCAGTAGGTACCTGGAATATAACGCGCTTCGATATTTAATATATATTAAACTTAAGTAAGGACTTGATTTCTAATTAAAATAAACGGTATAAAAACATAATAACGTGAATGTACACCGAGCTGGCCATGACACCGAGCTGGCCACTTTGTGTCGAATATCACGTGTGTCCAATCGAGTAGTCAGCAGTGCGTAAGATTGTATATGAATGAGGTCTTTTTTGTCCGTGTTCTATTCTCGCGAACTCCCGTTGCTCTGCCTTTTATGGATTCTTTCGGAAAATGTCGGAGGTGCATTGTTCAGGTGTCTGACCCCTAAGTGGACCGTAACGTTGGAGTTACTTTCGGGAAGAGGGGTTCATTTCGCCGTCTGAACTTCAAGTGACACTAGTCTTCTCTAGTGCCATATTATTTCTGAACCTAGGAACCAGGTGTCCTATCTGACAGGAGATGATGATATGAAGATGAGGATGATGATGCGTGAAGATGGAGGACTCGTGTCCTACTCTGCCTCTGTGCCTCTTAAAGAAGAGAAAATAAACTTTCTTCTAGCCCCGTAACCTATTTCCCTGATGTCCAGCCTTACCCCGTTACAGGACTTATCCTTAGAATATACTAGTATAAAGAGCTTTTTTCTTAATTCCTGCTCCTTAAGAGTACTATTCTATTAAATTTCATCGATAAAGGCCTAAAAGTCATCGATCTAGACGCCTAATGGATTACTATATAGTAGCGTCTCGGATTACTATTATAATTACGTTTAGATAGTATCTTAATATATTACTAAAGCCTACTAGATATATTTTGAATTCCGATTTTTTAGGTTTAGTTACGCTACTAATTTTGACAGTAGTAATCTAGTCTTCCCATTCTATAACGGATATATCTCCTTTAAGAACCTTATACTTATGATATAGCTCTCGATCTATACTAGAGCTGTATTTACTACGCTCGAGCGACTCGATTAGTCTGGCCTAAAACTCTATATTAGCCTAATTATTATCTTAATTTAATCGATAATCGATATAAGTATAACGAGTATAGAGGGATCGTATAACGGTAATCGAATTTCGCTTATATCGCGAGAGATAATACTATTACCTCTTCTTTTAGTATTTTCCTATAAAACTCTTATACGTCTCGGCTAGCTACAACGCTAATCGGGTTCTATTTTAATATCATTATTAGCGTAGTTATGATTAATCTATAATATAATATGTAGGGAACGAATATAACGTATAAGGACGGGGTTTTTGAGATTCATCGATAACTTCATCAAACAGCGTTAAATCATCAAACAGATTACGGCAATCGATTCTTCATAGGCGCTTACATCGGATAGTGACCTCGCATCGCTTGCGAATCGAGGGCGCAAAGCCATGGAGATGCCGATGGTAATTGACGGGGGGCCGGCGGGACTCCAACAGAGTGTTCACCACCCCCAAGCGAACGAAAGCGCCCACGCGCCGAGCGTGGAGCGTAGTGGCGACGAAAACGCAACGAAGAAGCAAATCGACAGCGAACGAGCGAGCATCGAACGAAAGATTACCGACTTAGTACCTTCCGAGAAGATCGAGGTTATGGGAGGCTTAATGGAACGCTGGCATGAGCTAAAGCTAGCCGGCAAGGCGCTGGAACAGGGCGAAGACCGATCCGCTACACCAGCCGACGTACTAGCAGCAATCCGAGCACTTGCCGAGGGGATTACGACTACAGTACAAAAGACGATACAAGACACCGTGAAAAGCGTAGCTATGCCTACGACCAGGTCCTGGGCCTCAGTCGCCTCGGGAACGGCCCAAGGGAGGGAACCCGTCGGAGCTCCGGTGTGGCAGCAACGGGTCGTTGTACCCCAGCGAACGGAAAGAGAAATAGTGATCCGAGGGACGGAAGACCCCAGTATGAAGAACAGGACGGCGGCTGAAGTCGTCAAAGCAGTGAATAAGGCACGCGGTAGCACCGACGCCGTAGCGGCCCGCAGGCTACGCAGTGGCGACACCGTGGTGACGTTCAAACAATCGGCCTCGGCGGCCTCGGCGGCCTCGGCGGCGACCACGGATAGCCGGTGGGTACGCAACGCCTTCGGCGATAAGGCACTTCTCAACCGCAGGGAGGTTGCAGTTATCGCAAAAGGCCTACCTGCGAAACGTTTACGAGAGGTCCATGATGAGAACCAACTACTCAAGGACCTAAAGCGAGATAATACGAAGCACCTCTCTAGGGCTAAAAGAAACCTCCCCCGGACGCCTCAGGCACCATACGCGGCTCTGATACTACACGTGGATAGCGTCGAGGCGGCGATGGAGCTGTGCTCTGAGGGACTTATATGGGAGGCCCAGATATTCGACTGTGAGCCGGCCGTACGACGGCAATCTCCGGGTCCGACAGTGCTACCAGTGCTACGAATATGGCCACATAGCGAAGCACCCACCGCCCCCGGCAGTTTGAGGTCCGTAGCTACTTGGACGGGCTGTCTAGCGAAGGCAGGCCCACTCCACCTAGCTCGTTAACTAGAGATGGGTTTACGATCGTACGACCCCGGGGCCGCCCTCCAGGCGTCTCACGGGCGGAGCAAGTGCGGACCGAGCGCTCAGCGTCAGCAATGCGAAGCTTCCTTACTAAGGGATGCACGAACGAAGAAATACCACCGGCAGCGTAATGGTAGTCTCCATTCTCTACTGGAATATTGCGGATTCAAAAGCGAACGCAGCGCTAGCGATTGAGAAGGGAGGCGATCACGATATAATAGCGGTACAAGAGCCATGGATTAATCGACAGACGAAGTCAATCTACTGCCCAAGGTCGTCTAGATACGAGGCAGTCTATAGTAGCGGCCGAGCCGCGCTATACGTCCATAAACGCTACGATGTAGCCTCGCTACGACCCCGAACGGGTACCGACTGGAGCAGTATCACATTCGGAACAGGCCCGGATGCCCTTACCATCTGGTCTATCTATTCACCAAACCAGTCCGGAAGCCGCTGGATTAGCCCGCTCCGGGACCTCCCTAGTGAGGCCCCGAAGGGAAGCAGGTCCTCGTAGGGGACTTCAATACACATCACCCGTTGTGGGACATACACGGACGATCGTCACGGGGTAGCGAGAATGTGGTAGAGTTTGCGCGACGGTGGCAATTAGAACTCGCCACACCTTTCGGGGAAATTACACGGCAAAGACACAGACAAAGGGACTCAACTATCGACCTTGCATGGGCGACGAAGGGGACCGTAATAGACTACGAAGGGGACCCGGGCCTAGAGGGATCGGACCATAGGGCGCAAGTAATCAGGGTAATATCTAACGAGGAGGCAGCGAATGAAGGCCGCCGTAACACCGAGGGGTGGAATTGGACGATGGCAGATAAGTGGCTAATCGTAGCCGAGTCGGGCCAGAGATTCATGAACTATGTGCCGGTTGAGACGAGAACAGAGCTAGACCAGGCGGTCGATTGGGTCATCCAAAACCTCCAAGAGATCGCCGACGTAGCGGCCCCTAGGCGTACTGTTGGTAGAGGCGCCGGGACCCCGTGGTGGTGCCCCCAGGTCAGCAAGGCTTGCGCTGAGACGAAGAGGCGACGACGAGATTACCTCCACGCGAGGTCGCAGACTAACTGGGACGAATACTTAAGAGCTAACCAAAAACAACGGCTCGAAATCAGCGAGGCACAGGCGCGGAGCTGGCATGAAAAACTCGAGAGGACGGCGAAGGATCATAAAAGCCTTTGGGCACTACAGAGATGGGCTAGGCTGCGGAGCTGGACACCCCCTGACACC